GTAAAAATTTAAAACAAACAAGTCTGCAATTTTCTCGCGTTATTATGTTATTGATTAATGCTTCCGAGGATCCACCCTTTTTACAGATTTTTTGTGGCAATTGCTAAAGCCATTAAACATTTTTGAGAATCGTTGTCAGCAGGTGAACTTACAAACAAGCATAATGGTTAAATCTTTCATCAATGGTACACAAAGCTCGGAAAAATATTCCAATCACTTCATGTCAAATAACCTCAATGGTGTCCCTTATATAGAAGGATTTATAAAAGTCATGATGATGATAAGATATTGATATGATTTTAATATGTTTTTATTATTATTAGTTAGTGTTTTTATTGTCTTATGTTATTGTCGAACGTCTCGTTTCAGAGCAGTATGGTTTTTCTACAGGACATAGCAATAGGGATAATGGTATTTCGTACCTTCTTCTATTACATTTTTTTTTACCAACAGCATGTACATAATCATTAAGCAGGCATTGAACCCGAGGTATTAACTCGAATACTGGTATTTGTTTAACTAACACTGAACTTCAAATATCCACTTATACCTCGACTCATCAAATGTGAAGATGTCTTAGAATATTCATAAAAGTTCATATTAATTAAAATGGTTTAAGATTCACATTTTATCACCCAATGTCGCTTAAGTTTTTTAGGACCTTTGCAATATTACAATATTGACATTGAATGTGTCGATCAAAAATCTAGTACATCTTTCTTTAGGTTGCCGTGCTTTGAAATTTGAATCAATGTTCAGTGTTGTTTAAAAAGGATCTACATCTTTGTATCCACCTATTTTAATCTAATTAAACTGCATGAAGGTACAGGATTGGTTGATAACAGTGTATACATTAATGTATGGAGAAAAGTCAATATAATTTTTATGTAATCAAAAAAAAAAGTTTCACCAAAAGTATTTTGCAAATATTGTCCAAAACGCTTAATTTAAGCATGCACACATTTTCATTATAACTACATTGTACTTATATTTTATAGAAAGAAACTTTTTAAGAGAACTCTATAAAGCTTTTTTGACAACGAAACTATAAGTAGTGTTCCCATTTGAGGAAGGCCAGAACTCATGCGCTTTTACCATTTATCCAGAATGATTATTTCAGTTTTTTTTTTAAAAAATGACCAAATATGGAAACTGTTTTAAACGTTTCTGACTCAATCGGGCTAAAATCGCACAAAAATCATTTTCTATTTCAATCTTTTGGTATCTTTATTACATTTCATATATTTCTAAAAGCTACCAGTTGATGTATGTAAGAATTTGTTTAAAGTTGTGAAATTTCTTTTTATAAAAATTGATAACAAAATTATCAATGTAAAAAATGAATAAAGCAGAACAGAGATTTGATCAAGGTATTGCGGAAAAGGCAACGTAAAAGTGCAACCGCTGTTGTTGAACAAACATGCAGTAAATAAAATACATGACTACAAATTTGTCCTATATTAATTATAATTTTCAAATAAACATGGGATTGCAATGTTTAAACACAGGATACTGAAAAACCAGATTGACAGCTACCAAACCCACACTATAAATAAAAAATGTGCCCAGTAGGGCACCGCAAATGAATACGATTACAAAATTGTATTAGAAAATGACCCTGAAGGTGTCGTAGAATTTCATATTATAACTTAATCTTAAAGTTGATGTCATTTTATATTTGTAATATCAAATATTATGCTAATCATAAACAAATATAAAGAAGGGCATACTATTTTCAAAATGTGACGTTCAAGCGAAAACAATTACTTGTTTGTGCATTTATATATTCATTTTCTTTTATATCTTAACTTAGATTTTGAACTTCAGTGAGACAAAGTGCTTTCTTCCATTCATAACATACATTATAAGATAAAGATTTAAATTCGCAACACCATCTTAGAAAATAACACTATAGCATAAAACGTTACCTTGTCCCACAAAACGAAAGGTTAATCATGTATACATAAATGATCATCGCCTCCATATATAGGTGTAATTCTGTATATTTACTTAAATCAAGACACGCCTGTTCAAAGTTAAGGAGCATTACGAAACTCAAACGCATTTTGCAATACTAATTTATTTAGTCATTTTAATCATCTTGAAGGAAATAGCATTAAAAATTTAATTACACAGAAAACAGAGGAAAGAGAAGATGCGTCGTGGTTTATTCTGTTTTTCTTTCCTTGTCCTCTTTCTTTGTGGATTTAATGCGGTGTCTGGTCAAGAGAACACAAATGTTCTTCAAAATATCTTGTTTGGCCTTTTCAACAATGGAACCGATGAAAATCAGATTGGAACACTTCTGAATTTATTGTCCCTGGGACCTACCGGACAAAATAATAATTCTGGAGTAACTGGGTTAATTTCATCACTTACACAACTGACTCGGCTCTTTGGAGGTTTGCCCGATTTATCGGCTCTGTTGACTGGAAACAATAATGCATCAGCATTGGGGAATGACACAACAAACAGTTTGAACTCGATTTTGGAAAATTTGTTAGACCTGCTGCCAGGTAATGCCGTCGAATCGCTCCTAACAGACAGATTTCCGAACTTGTCAAACTTGGACGATATCAGTCAATCTGAATTACTTGTATTGGTCACAGGGGTTGTCCTGCAGGCGAGTGGTGTTGGTGAAACCTGTAGAAATGACGTAGGAACAATCCTTGCTGGAATTATGGAGTCTTCTGATTGGGCTATTCGAAGTAAATATATTTCATAGATTTTATCATGATATGAGAAAGATAGAATATGTCAATTTATCACTGCACTCTTATTTTTTTCATTATTATTAAAAAAAAAACAAAAAAAAACCCGTAAGTATTCTACAAATAACCCATTTACATTGTATAGCCATTGTGCTTAAAGGAACGTATGTCCTTCTTAGGTTTTTACTTGTTTATTCAAAATACATATTACTAAGTTTTTCATATGCTTTGTTTTATATTCATATGAGATATGTATAAATTTATTCGTATTTCAGTGAACGGATAAATGAACCAATTACATTTAAAAGAATTAAATAAAGGACCCATATTTTATAATGCTTATTCATCGTAAAGGGACTCCACAGAAGTTTTTTGATATGACAGAACAATAGAACAGATTAATATTTCAGTTAATGGAGAACAAGACCAATAATTTTAAAGGCGAAATTCCAGATCTGTCCTTTATTTGTTTTTTTTCCAGAAAAATCATTATAATTATGAAAAATGATAACAAATTGAAATCGCTCAAATTGAGATTAGGGCTTATGTACAAAATTTTATTTTTATTTTTTGATCTGAATAAATTATTAATATTCTTTTGTATTTTATCTTTCTGTTTTAAGTAACCCAAGTTAATCTATGTAAGAATTTAGAAAATCAACGTTCATGTTTTTTAGGCTATTGAACCTAGTGTGAAGTTCTGTAATTTGTATGTATAATTTGATATTTAACTGGATCACTATCCCATATCCATATGTAAATTGATATGTAAATGGACCTATATATCATATATATCTATAATTAAATGGATCCATATATCAAATATAACTTTGAGACCTGATGTAAATTTGTTCGTAGTGATTGATGCGATGGGGAAGCCAGAGAGTGGATTTGCGGAAGGTAATTTAAAATGGCTCGGAGACTATCAGGAATGTGTTGGCATCAAATCAGTCACAGATGGGAAGGAACTGTTTACCGGCAAATACTGCAAGATTGACCTCCCCCTTACCGACATACTTCCGGCATCAGCGGTAAATAATCATATTATTTGTTATGCCAAGAATTAATATTTCAAGTCCTCCGGATGTCACATCATTAAAAAGAGGCCAATGATATGGTACAATCTTGTTACAGCTTCACGCAGTCTTTTGTATATATAGTAGTTGCTACTGTTTTGTAAGGGGGGGGGGGGGGTTATGAGAGGGAATTTGCGATTACAAGAATACCTAACTTTCTATGACAAACAAAATTCCAAGAAATATATCTATACAGTTTGGATACGTACATCTTAAAACCTTTACATTACCGCTACCTGTTTTTATAGAATGCATTGCATTGTTCAGGCAAAAAATAAACAAAAAATGTAACTTTTGTATGACAGTATTATTCTAAAACATCTTTTGTTTCTTCACCAGGATTTGGGAACACCTAACTTCGAGATTGGAACGTGCACAGCAAGCTCCTGTTCAGCAAATGACTTTGTTAACTTCTTCGTTTCAAGTTTGTTATAGCTTAATTTCCTTTTTTTTAAAAATTCAATGAATCAAATGTTTGAATTGTATAATCAAAGTTTTTTTTACGGTTTTCTTACAAAATTATGTACTGTTTTGATTGTGATATCACAAAATATAAGAAATAAAAATATAATTTTGAAATCATAGCTTTATTCTTAAAATACAAAATGATAGAATAAATGTCGAAAACGCTGTCTTTTTATCTAAGAATATTCGTTTTATGTTTTAAACATTTCAGTACAGCAGATATTACTGAATGGAACAATTTTGGTTCAGCCGGAAGTGAGCTGTAGAGAAGATAAACCTCTCACCACCGACCTCGTCATCTGCATGTATGTCTTATGTTATTATTCTCGTTTTTTGTTGTTGGTGTCATTTGCTTTAATGTAATGGGTTTTTGTTGTTGTTGTTTTTTTTTGCGTTAATCTTTGGTTTGTTTCTGTAATGTTGATGTTGTTGTTGTTGTTGTTGTTGTTGATGATGATGATGATGATGATGATGATGATGGTGTGATGATGATGATGTTGATGATGTTGATGATGATGATAATGTGATAATGATGATGATGATGATGATGATGATGTTGATGATGATGATGGTGATAATGATGATGATGATGATGATGATGATGATGATGATGATGATGATGATGATGATGATGATGATGATGATGATGATGATGATGATGATGATGATGATGATGATGATGCTGCTGCTGATGATGATGATGATGATGATGATGCTGCTGATGCTGACGCTGATGATGATGATGATGATGATGATGATGATGATGATGATGATGATGATGATGATGATGATTATTTATTATTATTATTATTATCATTATTATTATTATTATTATTATTATTATTATTATTATTATTATTATTATTATTATTATTATCATTATCCCCAGTTATACTTCTTTTTTTTTTGTCCTTATACTAGTTATACAGTGTAACTCAATTGCTTTTGTAAATTTTGACATAGAAAAAAAGACTTAGACAGTAGTTGTCGAGGGGATATTTATGTTTATATGTAACATCTCGGTCTCACCTTGATTTTAGAAGCCTTTTGATATAAGTAAATCAAATTCTTAAACAAACTGTAAAGTTAAGCACTGTGTCACAAAATTATTTTAATAACGCTTAACGAAAAAATTGGAACATGTTTGCATACTTAAGAAATTTGATCTTTAAATATATGCATAAGGTTCGATTTTAAAATAAATAATTATTCAAATTTGCGCGACAAACGTCCACTTGTTTCTGAACTCTTATTTTGTACTTACTGTAATTCTAACAGTACAGAAATAAATCATCACCTTTCACCCATTAAAAATGAAGTAATAGATAGTAAAAATTGTATTGATATAATTTTATGAAAATCGCCTTATTCTGTGCAAACATTATTTGATGATCTTGTTTTTCACCTTTCAATATCACCGGTCAAGAATTAAGAAATAGCAAAAGATATAATTTTTCTTAACTTATGGGAGTAGTAAATTTACATTTTGCAATAGACAAACCTTTCATAAACGTATATAGATATTTGCATGTGAATTTCGTTTGAACTAAATTGTTAAATACCTTTTGTTTGATTTTTGTTGTTGTTGTTTTGTTCTTTTAATCCTAAATCTATATAACGATGAATTCAAATAAATAAAAGTACATGTGTATTATGATAAATATGTCAAAGTAAAATATGAACTCAGTTTCGTTTCGACAAGTAGTTTTTGTTTGATGCTCGAAAAGTTAAAGCATTCATTTGATACCATGGTATCGTATGAACGCTTATACGAAGATAGGCTTTAATACTAAGAAGTACGTATAGCATAAATAATATCACCTCTTAAATAACATCAGCAAATTTAAATTAGTCAATTAAAGATAGTTGTTACTAAAGATCTATGCATCGTTTCAACCTTTAATGTATGTGTGCAGACTTTTCCTTAGATAAAATGACGAAAACCCTAAAAGATATTTTCACCAGAGAGTGCACTTATGAGTATACATATCATCATTTAAGAAAAGTTTTATATAGGTCATGTATTTAACGACACTGTTTGACTCGTTAAGATATTATTACCGATATTTTATTGGCAAGCTTGTAATCGCTAAACTTGCTATACATATTTCATTTACATGACTTTATACAGGCTGTTTTAAACCTATTTCCTTTTTACCGTTTTTATACAGATGTTTGTTGGCCATGCTTGTAGCCGCTATAATAATTGGTACCTTGTATGACATCTTTGCCGTCCAAATGAAAACTAAAGTGGACACAAAAGAAACCGAACAGGCCACCGGTGATATATCTCGTCAAAACAGCAGCAAGATCTCACTGTATAAACCAAAGAACACATTTTATGGAATTCCTGACGCATATCTAAATGGCGCGTACATGTCCCATGAAGCAGACGACGAACAAGTAGACAAACTCGGGAACGAAACAAAAACTGCTGATATAGAAAATGAAATTAACCAAGACAAGAGAGATGTGGCAATACCGCCAAAAGAAGACAACAATATGGAAGGGGAGCAAAAAAGTATGTTTTAGTTTTTAAATTTGTTTCTAATATTTAAAGCCTTAAAAAACCGGTGCACTACAACATACGTGTATTATTTTCCATGTAAAACTGAAGTTACAAATGTCGCTGAAGGAAATGTCTAAAACATTAAATGAAGACCATTGCAGCAGCTAAATTGCATATAGAAGTTGATATGTCTTAAAACATGTAAAATAAAATGAATTAGTGTTAAGATGTTTTGTCAATCAAAATTTTTTTAATCACCTTTCCTTTTTTAAAGGTAATGGTGATGTTAATAAAAATATTTCATTTTGTATCTGTAGGTACTGCTGAAAGTGTTTTAATGGCGTTTAGTGTCTATAGCAACGGTGTTAAAATTCTGAATACCCATCAAGCTTCTGGATCACTCGGATCAATAAATGGCATCCGCTTCCTGAGTATGGCCTGGGTTATTCTCGGTCATACCTATTTCTTTTGCCAGGGATACGATTGTGAGTAACTTACGATGTCATTTCAGATTAAAAGAAAATAGTTGAGCCTCGTCACGACAAAACCAACATAATGGATTTGCGACCATTATGGATCCAGACCAGTCTGTGCATCCGCGCAGTCTGATCAGGATCCATGCTATTCGCTTACAACCCTTTCATTTTACAATGGTTGCTCAATATGAGCGTATTTATATCGAACTCAAGTGGGGGTATCACGAGACCACATTCTCGCTATATAAAACCTTATGTCTATCAGGAACGACAACTGTTAATAATGTATACTTTATATCTATATATCAAACATTTTGTGAAAATATGTATTATATTTTTAATAGTCTTCAATCCTTACCGCTGTGGGATTGAACCCCCACAGGGCATTTGGATTCTTTGAGAAACTATCCAGCTAGCTTACGGAGTGTCTGTTGATACCCGAGGTCTTCATTCTCCAGTAAAGGAGGGACAGTTGCCATATTACCTATACCGTGATCTATACTAGTTTGCCCAACCAAAAAAAATGTATGGGCTATAGATCAGAACAAAATGGTATGATGCAAATAAATATATATTTAAATTCTAATATACATTAAATGTGGCAATTAATTATCGACAACTTATCTATTTCAGCTAACTTTTTCTTTCATTTCTTCACAAGCCTGGACAAGTGGAGTTTCATGGCGATCGCGTATGCCACTGTTTCTGTGGACTCTTTCTTTGCTATAAGGTACAGTTTTGATTTGACATCCTTAGTAAAAACACCAAGCGATTTTTTTCACTTTATTGTTCAAAATTATTATTACAAATAGAGAAACTGATAGCGGACAGCATGGATCCTGATCACACTGCGCGGAGGCGCAGGCTGGTTGCAAACCCATTATGTTGGTTTTGTCGTGATGCGGCTTAAATGGTCTTGTTATGCATAGCAGTTTTTTATGCATTTCGGTCGGGCATTAGAACTGTTGTTTAAATTTTCAGTTCAATACATATTTAAGTGACCTTAGATGCTCTCGTGATAGAGTAACATTACGTTTTGCAATTATCTTTATAGCTGTTACGGCTAAAAATATTTTGTAGAATTTGTAGAATAAAAGCTATCTATATGCAGTCAAGATAGAAAATTGACTTTAAATATTTGAGAGTGTATACGTGACCATAAACTCAACCAAAACAGTGCACTTTTAAGGCATTTTAGGCACTCTTAATATCAACTTAAGAATGTTAAAGAAATATTACGATTATTTTGATATTTATAAAATTGTGGAATTCAAAAGTAATAAAAAAGCAATTTAAAACATAATTTTTTTTAATGTTTGAACTTAAGTTGTTGTCGGTACTTTTTGCAGCGGAATCCTTGTGGCATATTTGACCTTAAAAGAACTGGAGAAAGTCGGCGGTGCAAGAAAATTGAACTGGTTTATGTTCTACTTTCATCGATTCTGGAGGTAATAATATTGAAAGAAAAAATATATTGATTTTGTTTGTTTGCTTGTTTTTTTTGTGTGTTATTTTAATTGGTGAATATTCATTCTGTTAATCATAAGAAATCTTGTAAAATGGCACTTTTAATTCATGTTCTGCCAAAAAAATGTAAGATTTCTTTAGAATAAAGAAATTAATTGATAAAGGTTGTCAATTTTACACCTGGCAATTTTTACATATGACTATATGTATATAATGTTTGGACGTTACGAAGTGCGTAACTAAAGTTTAGGATATTTTGCACGTGGCTTTGTATCTTACATTTGATTATACGACCACACGTAATGCAGATTTTTCACGTGACACTGACAAACACGTGACTAATTTACTCGTGAATCTACATGTTACAGATTGACACCATCTTACATGCTTGTTTTGATGGTGGGGACTGTTGTTTTACCTTATGTACTGAATGGACCAATGTGGACAAATGACGATATCCCATTTATGGGTGAATGCCGTAAAACCTGGTGGACCAACCTCTTGTACATTAATAACTATGTTAAAACAGATCAAATGGTTTGTGTTTTGTTTTACTCATGTTTAGGTGGACATGGTGCTGAGTCCTTTGTTTCATTATGTCAACGTTGACAAAGTTTTGAGTATCTTATTTAATTAAAATGTACTTAAACAATGTGCTAGGTCTATTTGATTTTTGTTCCTTTTCTAAATTAGGACATGTTGGTCATTTCTATGCTTTAATACAAACGATTTATACATTTCAATCATTTGTCTATCACATTTAAGAAATTTTCACTGATTATGGAAAAATAGATTTAAGCGTCCAGACACCTCAGTCGGTAGATACGCGAAACACCATTGCAAGGGTCTCTGGTTCGAATCCCAGGCATGCTGAACATTTTCATCAACCTGTGACATACTCTTCTAAATTATTTAGATATTTAATATTGCGTTGATATTAAAAAAGCTTACTAACCAAGAATCTAGATCATGGTCACACTCGCTTTAGTTTTCTTACTTATCTACTGGATAACACGTTTCACTACTTTAATCATACCATGATTATTCATTACTCGTTATTTCAGTGTATGGCGTGGACATGGTACCTGGCAAACGATATGCAATTCTACATCATCAGTCCGTTAATACTTCTACCAATTTTCTAGTGAGAACATATATTTTACATATTTTTAAAGCTTTTTTTCATGTTTTTTTTTTGTTGCTCATTTATCATTCCTCTTTATAAATACTTTATCTGACTATAGTTCAGATATACTTATTTCGCACATGTAGAATGCGAAACATTATTTGATCTGATCTTATTCAGATTTTCATACATCAAAGATTTGATGTTGTAAGCTAATTAATTAAAACAGGAAAATGCAGGAAAATAATGAATGTTGAAAGAAGCCACATTGCATGAATGATTGGTTTTCCTTAACGTCTTTGTCATCGTCATTATCATCGTCATTATAATGATAATAATAATTATTATCAATATCATCATCATCATCATCATCATCATTACCATTATTATTATTATTATTATCGTCCTGGTTGTTGTTGTTGTTGTTGATGATGATGATTTTATTATTTTATATTACTTACAAAATCATTTTTTGTTGCAGTAACGTTATTGCTGGTGTTGTTTCATGTATGGTGTTTCTAACAGCAACAACAGTAGCTGCAGGCGTGGTGGCATACAGCCATAGATATCCTGTACAGAGCTATCTTTTTCAGTACGCCCCACCACCGTGAGTATCTGTTTTATATGACTATTCGGCCATTATAAAAATGTTGTTTCATGACATGCGAGATTTCGGCTAAATATGGCTAAATAGCGAGAATTTGACTAAGTATGATAAAAAGCGATATGTTAAATAGCGATATTTTGTCTATATATGGTTAAAATAGCGAGATTTTGACTAAATATTGCAAAAATAGCGAGATTTTGAATAAATATGTTTATAATAGCGATATTTTGACAAAATATGGTTAAATAGCGATATGTTGTCTAAAAATGGTTAAAATATCAAGATTTTGACTAAATATGACAAAAAATGCGAGATTTTGAATAAGTATGTTTAAAATAGCGAGATTTTGACTAAATATTGTTAAAATAGCGAGATTTTGACTAGATATGGTTTAAATAGCGAGATTTTGTCTAAATATGGTTAAAATAGCAAGATTTTGACTAAATATGGCAAAAATAGCGATATTTTGAATAAATATGTTTAAAATAGCAAGATTTTGACTAAATATGGTTAAAATAGCGAGATTTTGACTAAATATGGTTAAAATAGTGAGATTTTGACTAAATATGGTTAAAATAGCGAGATTTTGACTGAATTCTGTTTAAATGAAATACAGAGATTGAACATTCTGGCATACCAACAGGCAACATTTAATCTGGTTCAAACAGGAACCTATGTATTTTTATGAAATATTCATTAATAGCATTACCATCGAAGGTCAGATTTGTAGCATCGACCCAGTGTTATAATTAAGAACTTATTATTATAGGACTACAATTTATCGGCTACATACGCCATCGTTTTATGCATGATTACAACACTACCCATGTCTACGCCTAACAATAACGTTTGATGCAAAAAATCAGACATAAAACTTCGAAAAAATAATCAATTGCTATATGCCCACAAATACTTTTTCTAACCGGAATATAGCCTGTCCGTAGCAGTTCATTTCCTTGCTCAGCGAAGTAACGCAATAACTGCGAGGGTGAAATCTGTGTGTAGAAGGGCAAGAAAACAGTTCTTTGAGGGAGAATATGTGAGCGAGAAAATGTTTATCTTGTTGTACAGTATTTACAGCCAAAACGACAAGTTACAATATGATAGAAATTGCAAGAAAATGCGTACTTAATCACTTTCATGTCACAGGAACGATGACGATTATGCCGAGAACTTGTACATTCCGAGCTATGCTCGATTCGGACCGTACATCGTCGGTCTGTTTACCGGATACATGCTCCACAGACTTAAGTGTAAATGTCGGATCCCAAAGGTAAGAGTATAATAAACAAAAATATATTTTATTAAAGTAGAGGAAACACTTAAACACTTTTGTCCCAAAATTACAAATTGTCTGGTTAAATGACCAGGATTTAAATGGACAATTGTTAAGAATTGCTTGCATGTTTGTTTGATTTATCGGGCAAACGTTATAATTTTCTTACTGTATAGTTATATCTATATACTAACAATACTTAGAAACATTGATAGAAATGATAGGAAGTGCCAACTATGCCAGTTTAATGATATTAAAGATGAATTTCATTCTGTTTTAATTTCTTCAGCTTATACTACATTAAGAACACAAGGCATTCCAAGATATTATTATATACTCTTGCCCAAGTATGTTATAAAAAAACTGAATTGATACAAATTTGCAAGTGTAAATATTTTGAATTAATTAGCCAATTATTGTATAAAGGCATTTGATTTTCAAAAGAAGTCATTAAACCTTTAAGAGACATAAAAACTGACTCATGAAATAGTGTTTATTTGGATACAGATCGACCCTCAGTACAGCAATAATCTCAAAAAAATTAAAAACAAAATCAACAAGCAATTATCATAGTATTGCAAGCAATCCATAAGTCCCCTACCGGTAAGAGCCCAAGCAACATTCTGAAGGGCCATTCACTTAGGTTCCTATTTTAAGTAAATTTGTTGAAAAAGTTCTTTTAAAGTGATCACAGAAACAGTTTTATGTACAGACAGACGGACTGAAGGACACTCTAAAGTTATTTTTTAAACATCCCTGTTATCAAAATATAACATTTTTAAAATCCTATCATGATTGAAGAAGTTGGAGTAAAAATTACCAATTTCTCAAAAAAAAGTTCAAAAGGGGCATAATTCTGGAAATAGTCTTGCTAGAGTATTGAACACTCACAAATGTTGAGTGACAATAAGAAACATTTATATGAAGTTTGAAGTAGATACATTCAGAAAAAGAAGTTATTAAAAAAAACAATGTTTTTTTTTTCATGAAAATTTTAAGTTCAAGGGAGGTAATTCTGATAAATTTTATACTAGAGTTGTAAACCTTGTCACATATGATGTGGTTGATGACAAGCAACTTATATTTAAAGTTTGAAGAAAATACCTTAAGAAATAAAGAATTTATAGTGAAAAAACTTAAAAACTAGAATAAGAAATCTTGAAATTCAGTCTATTTGTTGCCATAGCAACCAGAATTTTCAACATAGGAAGATAAGAAAAAGACGTGCATAATTTCCATACTGCCATCTACCCATATGTCAAGTTTCATAAACATATTTTCAGTACTTTTTGTGTTATCACCGGATCAAGGTTATGTGTAAAATTTGTCATATTTTCAGTCTATTTGTTGCCATAGCAACCAGAATTTTCAACATAGGAAGAAATGAAAAAGACGTGCATAATCTCCATACTGCCATCTATCCATATATCAAGTTTCAGAAAAAATATTTTCAGTACTTTTTGCGTTATCGCGGGATCCAGTTTATGTGTAAAATTTGTCATATTTTCAGTCTATTTGTTGCCATAGCAACCAGAATTTTCAACATAGGAAGAAAAGAAAAAAACGTGCATAATCTCCATACTGCCATCTATCCATATATCAAGTTTCATTAAAATATTTTCAGTACTTTTTGCGTTATCGCGGGATCCAGTTTTGTGGACGGACGGACTGACGGACGGACAGACGGACGGACGGACTGACGGACGGACAGACGGACAGACAGACGGAGGGTAAACCTAAAGTCCCCTCCGGTAAACCGGTAGGGGACTAAAAAATACACACACAATAATTAACCTCGCTAGTGCAAAACCTAATACCTCTTTACTTCACAAAAGGTATTACTTTTCAGGGTTGCATTCCATTTCAATTATTATGTTTGTTTTATGCCAAATATAGTTCTTATGGTATACTTTAATTTACTTATTAACAGATTGCTAATCTAACATGCTGGTTGCTGGCATTGGCGCTCTGCTGTGTATGTGTGTACTCCCCGTACTCCAAGGGAGACTCACACATCTTCACACCACGAGAATCCGCCGCCTTCTTTGCTCTGCATAGAACCGGTTGGGCGGTGGCCGTGTGCTGGATTGTATTCGCATGTTCTACTGGACATGGAGGTAACATGTTTAAAGGCCCATTATGTCTCACAAATGCTATCATTTTTTACTTCACAAAAACTTATGTTTATGATATCGTGTCACAGTTTCGAAAAAATACTCATTTGCCAAATAAGTGAACTATATTTTCTTCTTTTGTTTTGTTTGCAATGCGTATAATTATAGTGAATCGGTATTTTAAATGAAAATTAAAATACTACTTATTTACTTATTGCTTCCTTTATGACACATAACTGCACATTCAGAGCTAATTTCTTTAGCTGCCAAACATCTAGCATACTCTTAATCCATTATTAGCATAATCAAACACATGTTTGACATTTCTAAAGAATTCTGGGAATCGAACCCGGGTCGCCCGATTCACAGATCAACGCTCTACTTAATGAGCTTACCGGATGGCATTGAGTTAACCTTTACAGAAAATTTGCTTATTTATTCCAAAACAGGTTGGATAAATGAAGTGCTGTCATGGAAAGCGTTTGTCCCACTCGGAAGATTGACGTACAGCGCCTATCTCATCCACCCACTGGTTATGATTGTATTCTATATGAGCAGGAATACACCTACATACTTCTCTATCTATGAAGTGGTCAGTATTATTACATTGTCTGTACTGTTGTTGTTGTTGTTGTTGTTGTTTGTATGACAACTTTTTTTTTTATAACATTTTTGTATTTATTATATTAAATATATATTTTTTTCAGGAGCAAGATGTATTTTAGTTCAAATTTGTATACACTTATGTGTTTCATTCTTGAAATAAAATATTTTATAATTATCATAATCATTTTATTTGAAATCTGTTATTATCATTATATCATCATCATCATCATTATCATCATCATCATCATCATCATCATCATTATATCATTATAGCGAGGTTTTATACTCTAAGTCTTTATTTCAGCTTTTCAACGATTACAACACATACATTATATATCAGAGATTATCTTATAGTAATGAGTATTTACGTGTAACAACATGAAAATTCATAATATACATGTTTATTTATTTCAATTTGATTTTAGTTATCATACTAAAACTGCAATGTAATTTATTTGAGCCGCGTCATGACAAAACCAACATAATGGGTTTGCGACCAGCATGGATCAAGACCAGCCTGCGCATCCGCGCAGTCTGGTCAGGATCTATGCTGTTTGCTTACCAACCCTACTACAAGTAGAGAAACAAATAGCGAACAGCATGGATCCTGATCAGACTGCGCGGATGCGCAGGCTGGTCTGTATCCATGCTGATCGCAAACCTATTATGTTGGTTTTCTTGTGACGCGGCTCATTTAAGGTTAAGATGCCTCAGTATTCGCCTTGTATCACATATCTTACTGAAACAAAATTTAAGCTATGTAAATTAGGCAATACATAGTACATTTAGTATTTTGAACAATCTTTAACTTTACATATAAATGCCACTATAAAATTTGTTGAAATTGCACAAAATCCACAAAATTCACGATAAAATATTGACAAATTGTAGTTTGAATAATTTTTTAAAATGTTCAGAGTACATAGTTGTGACATTTTAAATAAAATGCAAGAAAATCACGTGGAAATTGTTATAGTTTGCAGTATTTTTTTTGTTGTTATTTTACTTAAAACGCACGAAATTTACATAGAATTCGTCCTGTCAAAGTTTATGTACATTCATGTATATTAAGTGCATAATTAATGAGAGATATAACATATAATGTTATATTGGTTATATATCATGATTATATTTGAGCCGCGACACGACAAAACCAACATAATGGGTTTGCGACCAGCATGGATCCAGACCAGTCTGCGCATCCGCGCAGCCTGATCAGGATCCATGCTGTTCGCTATCAGTTTCTCTACTTGTAATAGGGTTGGTAAGCGAATAGCATGGATCCTGATCAGACTGCGCGGATGCGCAGGCTGATCTGGATCCATGCTTGTCGCAAACGCATTATGTTGGTATTGTCGTAACGCGGCTTATATTATTTGTCTTCTTTTGCAGATATATCTGTTTTTGGGACATTTGTGTTTATCTTATGGGATAGGATTCGTCGTGTCACTGGTGTTCGAATCCCCGATGATGGGCCTTGAAAAGACCATTTTCAAACGAGGGCGGAAATAACTTATTTACCATTGCATTATATATAGACTATGGAACAGCCCGGGAGTTACTTATTAAAACATCTGGAAAAAGGTTATCCCTCGGAAGATTCAAAAACAGCAAAATTACATGAAAATTTCAGTCTAGGTTTGATAGATGGAGTACATTGGGGGGGGGGTAATTAAAAAATGCAAAAATATCTAACGCCCCCTAGAACCGGATTGAGTGGTGCACAATTTTGACCTAAACTTCTTGCATCAAAATGTCGGTATTTTTTGTTTTCTTACAAAATTAAGACACGTGATAAAGATTATCAACTACAAAATCCGTTTTTTTTTGTCTTTTTTGATGTTTTGTCTTCATGTTATGTTTTTACAGCATTCCACAATTTACATTTTTGAGATTTATCTTATTTTTACCACATATCTTTGTTTAGCATCTGAACAAGTAAACTGTTAAGTGAGTGTGTACGTGGGTATGCGTTGTTTATTTAATTGCATAGTGAAGTTTTGTTTTGCTATTTTATGGAAAATATTTCCCTTCTGTCTATGTAAAACATTTTGTACAACCAAACAGGAAATAAAAGCCTCTTTGTCCACATTTTTTCTCTTCACTTCTTTTGATTTCTTTAAAAACAATTTCTTTAGACATGAAATAAACTACATAATGTTTAACGACATTTTACAATTTGTCCTTGAAGTCAACGAACTAACAAATTTCGCTGACGTAAGCTTTTTATTTGAGCCGGGTCACGACAAAACCAACATAGTGCGTTTTGTATGGAAGGCAAAATACTAATTTATTTACATTTTGCTATCTTTACGACATATAAATGCATGTTTAGCCCTATTTTTTCAGTTGTAAAATAACATGCACTTTAACCATTATTTAAACATTATAAAACACATGTTTGACATTTCTAAAGAATTAAACAAATGTGGATTTCTGTGCCTTTAAATATGGAGAATATATCCATGAATAAACACATAAAGTTTACATTTATCTATTGCAAGATTTTATAAAGCATAAAAACAAATTAGTGGCAAAATAGGAGCAAATATTTGACAATCGCTAAAGTATTAAAATATAAAAACAGACAAATGTGGGAAACACAGGTTTAAGTCAACAGATGGAAAGGCATGGGGCTTTCTTTGAAAACGAAAACGGCAGTTTCGATTAAGAAATGATGTTCACAAAGTTATTCATTATGCAAGTGTATGCTATATTATGCAATTTTTAAATTGGACATGTAAAATGGTATATTTTAGCAATAAATCTTTTACATTTGATATTTGTTGCTAGTCGTTTTTAAGACATAATTAATTGAGCCGCGTCACGACAAAACAAACATAATGGGTCTTTCGGCCAGCATGGATCCAGACCAGCCTGCGCATCCGTGCAGTCTGATCAGATCCATGCTGTTCGCTTACAAACTCTATAACAAGTATCAGACTGGGCGGATGCGCTGGCTGGTCTGGATCCATGCTGGTCGCAAACCCATTATGTTGGTTTTGTCGTGACACGGCTTAATTGTTCTTTAATTGTTCTTTCATACACAGAGTGAATATCTTCATATATAAGGAGGCGCGTTGTTGCCATCAGTTTCACGAGCGACTTAAGCGACACATAGCTGTTACATCGCAGATCTTTTCTCCCCCTACTAATCAGCTGGCATGTAATGTGAAGGTGCAATTTGCATCAACATTTGAATATACATTGTCAATGTGTCTGAAAATATAAAATAATGTCAATACATAAACGAGATAAAAAAGCGTTAAGGAGAAATCTTTTCATGTTTCAACATAGCTTACATTCATAAGCAGGATCTTCGTAATAATCATCGTATGAAACTTAAACGTAAGCTTTATACAAAATAATAAATATCATTATAGAGCGAAGTTTAGATGTTTAATATCTTGTAACAAAATAATAAACCCTTTTAAGTGACCACAGGGTTATCTTAATGTATTAGTGTACAAGTCCAGAAGTGTTATTTATTCCTTATTTGGAGAATTTCGGTCAATTTATGTCTGTGGTTTTGAAGACAGTACAAGACAGCAGTGATATTCAAGAATATACTAAAAAGATGAGTGTTTCTAACATTGAAAAAGGGTTGTTAAAAAATACGACGACTTTTTGTAACTTCCATATTATTTATGCACTTGCACGCAAAAACACACACAAGTTGGTGATTGGTAGAATCCACTGCTTACCAGTGTTGTACTTTGTCAATGAATTGTGTTGCCATAAAAACACATTCTTGCGACCAGATCAGACAGCTGTTGCTAAGATAAACAAAGGAATTCTCATACGTACAAGCCATTGGGTTACTGATGGAGTAAGACCTCTTTGCTTGTAAAGACTTACGCCAAACTAAACACTTACCAATTTTTATGAGCCCTTAAAAAAAACCCGTGGAAAAAAGAAAAAACGAAAACCCCAAAAGACAAAAATTCAGCATATAAGCTGGGTTGTGGATCTTAAAAGTAGGGGCTATAAATAGGTTATCGCACAAAAACAGGAACAAAAATCGGGATAAAAAGGTTTGCTGAAATATTTTATTATCAAAAATACGGTTTATTTTTTAAAAAAAAATCTGGGGAAAAACATCGGGAAATTTTCCCTTTCATAATTTTTCTTTCTTACAATTTAACTGTACAGTGTGGACATCCAAAACATTCCATCATCAGGAACCAGAAGAATTGTCTAAAAACGGAGCATCCAAGTCAGTTCCGTATAAAAATGACGTAATTTTAAACTTACATGGTCGGGCTTGAAGAATGGTTAATCGAGCATTGATGTAAACACAATTCAATTCAGTAACTTGATAATATGATTCTTGAGTATTAAATTGAAATATTTGTTCTTATTATTTTGTAAAATATTTTATGCGTTGCGATATACGAAAACCGGCAGCGGAAGTAATCACCTCTTGAAAAAAATATCTTTAGTGATCTCCCTTATTTTGCCTTAACACTGGTTTTGATATTTGACCACAAAGAAGTCAGAAGGACGTAGATCTTAGTGGTTAATCTATTTTTTGCATCATTGTGTAAAATAGCCAATAAACACCGCTGGGGCCGATATTATTAATTGAAATTAGATTGTACAAACTGCAGTTCAACATAAAAATGATTATAAAGCGATTATAAAGACTTACATAGGAGTTTAAACTCCTGATTAGGCTTTTTTTATCTCCTATGTAGGATTATCTTTTTTTATAGAACATATAAAATTGGCAATTAGACGCTTCCATAAGTCGATCACACAATAATTAAAGAGTTTGGAACGAAGAGCGCATATGTAAACTGACTGTAGCCCCCCCCCCCCCCCCCCCTCCCGCGTCTCATAAGGATGGCACGACATTGATGAAATTTTAAGCGGGAATTTTGTCAATGTTTAGAACTTCATAATTATAATCAATTAACTTCTGTTGTTAGTTCTTAATTGTTAAACTTGTTGTTAATAAACACTTACACAAAATGATCATGCTAGATCAAAGCATTTTCAGTTAACTCTTTCCTTGACAAGGTGGATATTCAAAAACGAGCTTTGTGACGTTCTTTTTATATACGAGTATGTATATAAATTAAGCAATAATTGTTTAATTTTGGATCGCATAGAACAGAAAAAATACAGATGCAATAATTTAGCATTATTATCTTACTCTGAATTAACGTTTTTTCGTTGTCGTTTGGTGTACCTCATCACCAAGAAGTGCTGCCACGGTGAGGGGGGGGGGGGGGGGCCGGGGTAAAGGCGTAAATACTCACAGGGCCGTAAAACTGAAGAAATCCACAAGCGTTCCAATATTACTAATACCAATCATGACTAACGCAATACAACACTGAAAAATATAGAATTATCATAATTAAGTTCTTTATTTGTAAAGCCCCATGCTAAATTTACATGTATGTATGTACATATTTAGGCAACTCTAGGTCAGGTTTCCTGAATAATGAATTATTTGCTTAACAAAGATTTTCACTTATCTTGTTGTAAAAAGAGATGGTTTTTGGATACACAACAAATGGCTACCATTTTGAGCGGCAGTTTTCCGTTAACTTAATAGTTACCATATGTAACTTAAAAAGATAGCTTCTGTATAGCACTTGCTATAACCTATGGATAAAATGCGTAGGAATATGTTATTTTTTTCGTTATAAATTGGTACATAAAGTACTAACGACAATATGAAGAAAGTACAAGTGTTTGGATATCTAATCGAGGGAGAAGTACAATGCATACTTAGATTACAACAAAGTAATCATTTCTCACCGTAAATACAACAGATGGCATCGGTGTCAAATATTTAACATGAACATATGACAATAATTCTGGCAGATGCCCCTCCCTTCCAGCAACGTAAACAACTCTGAAACAGCCAATCATATTTGAAATAACATCAGCACTTTGATATTTGGCGCATGCGTATTTAAGGTAAAACGGGTTGTGGGCTTTTTTTTCTACTTTCTCAATTCCTTACATGGTTTGAGTGTAAATGATATAATTTGTTTCCTCATACTTTAATATATCGTTAACCTCCAAAAGATTTTTCTACATTGTGTTCTGATCAGATATCACCATCATCCGGTATAATAAAGTAAATAACGCATGCGTGTCCAAGTGATAGTAAATACTGCAAAGCCTGTCTACGTCTTGGAGTAATACCAAATTTTCAGTATGACAATAATCCACTATTACCCGAAATCTATTGACTTGTGTTACTTTTACATCATGAAATATAGTTTATTTGGTATTTAGTGAATATTTTGCAAATGGCCAAAGGCAATTGCGTATGCTGATTTTCAAGAATAAACATGAAACTTGGTAAACATTCAATCTGTGACTTCATGAATTCGTAAATACGAGCACAAAATTATTTTCCGATTCTAAGAAAAATAAAATAGCTTATTAGCGCGTTCTGTAATTCCGGAAAGTCAATATACCTTCCGCCGCTAAATACCGTCCCATTGGCAGACCCGTATGTAGAAAATAAAACGGCAATCGGCAATATAACAGATGCACTCTGCAGAACTCTATCACCCCATGTCTGAAATAAAAACAGTTTCATATACATTGTATACAATTCATCAATTGAAACATCATTCTTAATTCTTACAACGCAACGATTGATTTCCTCCATGTCTCTAATGAAATGTTTAGAAATAAATTCATCTCAGTTCAATGATTGCCTGATAAGCATAGAATTTTGAGTATACTCGTGTAATTGTTTAATTTCACCATTTTGAAAGAAAAAAAATGGTAGAAAAGTTTTTGAAGAAAATTAATAAGGTCAAGGTCAGTAAGTATTCATCAGACGATAGTTACCACGGCAACGGCGCTCGAATCCAATAGTTCAGCAGCCGACATTGCGGTCAAATACGAGATGTTGGTGAAGATGTAAACCACTGTTACCAAGGCAACGCCTAAAATGTTTGCTCGTGGGAGATTTCTAAAAAAAATCATTACAGTAAATAAGACATTTTTAGTTCTTAAATTATCAACGTAATTAATGCTATATTGTTGAGCATATACCAATGGAAGCGGTTCAACTGCCAGTCAACTTATTAGATCATTCATTGTACACGTTACAAAATATCCTAAATGGACTTATCCATTTTTTTGCTCTGGACAAGGTCATTCATCATTTTAGGAACACTGTCTTCAAAAGCTGTACTATCTGAATAAGCAAACAGTGCAGGATATTGATCTAGTCAGCACCAAGTAGACTGGGGGATGATTTCCGATCAGCACCTGAGTTTTTAAAGATTCCTCTAAAACGGGATCAGATGGTCGGCTTCCTCTAAATTAAATACCAAGTCACTTACTTAAACATAGTGATGAAACTAAATGATGATAATTCTGACGAGCATCAATGCAAATATTTTATTGACAAATTAATAAGAATAACAATTTCTTAGTCTATGTATAGACTTACATTTCTGGTTTCTCGATTTCTTCTGTAACGTAGTTCAGGTTATTCCTTGAGAAAACATAAAAGAACAAAATCAACATCCCCCAATTAGTTTTAAAATAATCGAGCATTCGCTGTTAAAGCAATGAAACATCATTATATAACTACGGTGTCCTTATCGTGCCATTTAGAATGTCGTCCGTCGCGTCTAAGGGTAGACACACGACAATGCGAAGTGACATCGCGACAATGCGAAGCGACGCTCGACAACGCGAAGCGATATGCGACAATGCGAAGCGACGCTCGACAGTGTCAAACGATATGTCGCACTGTCGCCTAGAAATGTCGCGGTAAAAAAGGGCGACATTTAAGAAATGTCGCTTCGCGTTGTCGAGTGTCGCTTCGCATTGTCGAGCGTCGCTTCGCGTTGTCGCGATGTCACTTCGCGTTGTCGCGATGTCACTTCGCGTTGTCGCATTGTCACTTCGCATTGTCGAGTGTCGAGGTTGGTAGAAGTGCATACCACGACACTCGACAATGCGAAACGACAACGCGACAATTGCGAATACGACGCTCGACAATGCGAAGTGACACTCGACATCGCGAAGCGACATTTTTAAAATGTGGAGTAAATGTCGCGTTATTTTTATGATTTTTACACCGCGACGCTCAACATTGCGAAGCGACACTCGACAATGCGAAGCGACACTCGACAACGCGAAGCGATACTCGACAACGCGAAGCGACACTCGACAATGCGAAGCGACATTTGGAATAATATCGTATCGCAATGTCGTGCGTCTACCGGTGCTTGGTCAGAATTACTAACTCACCGACAAACGGTGCGATCATGGAAGGGGTCGCACTAAACTGCTGACGAATTAGCTGACGATATAGATATATAGGAAACTGCTGACCAGTTAAATAAAAAAAAGGATTATCGGAAAATGCTGACCAGTTTACACAAAGAAGGGAAACATTGAAGGTGTGAAGTTATATAAAACACGCCGTAGGGGGTAATAAAAAGATGGGGAAATTACTTTTATTCTTTTAATATTTTTAATTTTTGCATTTATATGACTATGTTTATAAACTAAATTAATATATACATTTTAAAGTACCATAATATCATACATTTTAACACGGATTTACATTACTACATGTAATATAAATCCGTGATTTTAAAAGGATATATTAAACAGCTTTTTATACCTCTAAAGATATGCAAAAATTTGAATTAATGTTTTATAAAGAATTATGATGTTATGAGTTTTATCAAAATCTCTTGTTAGTGATATTTCAATAGAAAAATCTTGTAACGGAAAAAAAAATGTATTTTCAAAAGCAATAATTGCAATTTGAATTAATATTAAATAAGTCAGCAGTGTTTTAACTTAATTAAATGTCGACAAAATTTTATACAATATATTGAATTTCGTACATTATAAAATGAATTAAAATTTCACGACAAAATATATTTTTTTCTATATTTCTAACTGGTCAGCAGTTTCCCTATATATCTAACTGGTCAGCAGATTCTACTACATGTGTATATGTTTAACTGGTCAGCATTTTCTCGCCTGAATGTAAAGAGCGTTAAATTTGCTAACCATATAGAATAAGAAGAGTTTTTACGGCTTAAATCAATTTGAAATAACATTAAATTTGGTCAGCAGTGTTTTTACTTAATTAAATGTCGACATAATTTTATAAAATAAATTGAATTTGCATACATAATAAAAATGAATTACAATTTCACGGCAAAATATATTTTTCTCTATATATCTAACTGGTCAGCAGTTTCCCTATATATCTAACTGGTCAGCAGATTCTACTATATATGTTTAACTGGTCAGCATTTTCTCGCCTGAATGTAAAGAGCGTTAAATTTGCTGACCATATAGAATAAGAGAGTTTTACGGCTTAAATCAATTTGAAATAATATTAAATTGGTCAGCAGTGTTTTTATTTAATTAAATGTCGACAAAATTTTATACAATATATTGAATTTCGTACATTATAAAATGAATTAAAATTTCACGACAAAATATATTTTTCTCTATATATCTAACTGGTCAGCAGTTTCCCTATATATCTAACTGGTCAGCAGATTCTACTACATGTGTATATGTTTAACTGGTCAGCATTTTCTCGCCTGAATGTAAAGAGCGTTAAATTTGCTGACCATATAGAATAAGAGAGTTTTACGGCTTAAATCAATTTGAAATAATATTAAATTGGTCAGCAGTGTTTTTATTTAATTAAATGTCGACAAAATTTTATACAATATATTGAATTTCGTACATTATAAAATGAATTAAAATTTCACGACAAAATATATTTTTCTCTATATATCTAACTGGTCAGCAGTTTCCCTATATATCTAACTGGTCAGCAGATTCTACTGTATATGTTTAACTGGTCAGCATTTTCTCGCCTGAATGTAAAGAGCGTTAAATTTGCTGACCATATAGAATAAGAGAGTTTTACGGCTTAAATCAATTTGAAATAATATTAAATTGGTCAGCAGTGTTTTTATTTAAGTAAATGTCGACATAGTTTTATACAATATATTGAATTTCGTACATTATAAAATGAATTAAAATTTCACGACAAAATATATTTTTCTCTATATATGTCTAACTGGTCAGCAGTTTCCCTATATATCTAACTGGTCAGCAGGTTCTACTATATGTTTAACTGGTCAGCATTTTCTCGCCTGAATGTAAAGAGCGTTAAATTTGCTGACCATATAGAATAAGAAGACTTTTACGGCTTAAATCAATTTGAAATAATATTAAATTGGTCAGCAGTGTTTTTACTTAATTAAATGTCGACATAATCTTATAAAATATATTGAATTTGCATACATTATAAAATGAATTACAATTTCACGGCAAAATATATTTTTCTCTATATATCTAACTGGTCAGCAGTTTCCCTATATATCTAACTGGTCAACAGATTCTACTGTATATGTTTAACTGGTCAGCATTTTCTCGCCTGAATGTAAAGAGCGTTAAATTTGCTGACCATATAGAATAAGAGAGTTTTACGGCTTAAATCAATTTGAAATAATATTAAATTGGTCAGCAGTGTTTTTATTTAAGTAAATGTCGACATAGTTTTATACAATATATTGAATTTCGTACATTATAAAATGAATTTAAAATTTCACGACAAAATATATTTTTCTCTATATATCTAACTGGTCAGCAGTTTCCCTATATATCTAACTGGTCAGCAGGTTCTACTATATGTTTAACTGGTCAGCATTTTCTCGCCTGAATGTAAAGAGCGTTAAATTTGCTGACCATATAGAATAAGAAGACTTTTACGGCTTAAATCAATTTGAAATAATATTAAATTGGTCTGCAGTGTTTTTACTTAATTAAATGTCGACATAATTTTTATAAAATATATTGAATTTGCATACATTATAAAATGAATTACAATTTCACGGCAAAATATTTTTCTCTATATATCTAACTGGTCAGCAGTTTCCCTATATATCTAACTGGTCAGCAGGTTCTACTATATGTTTAACTGGTCAGCATTTTCTCGCCTGAATGTAAAGAGCGTTAAATTTTGCTGACCATATAGAATAAGAGAGTTTTACGGCTTAAATCAATTTGAATTAACATTAATTGGTCAGCAGTGTTTTTTTACTTAATTTAATGTCGACATTATTTATAAAATATATTAAATTTGCATAATGAGTAACAATTTCGTAGCATTTAAATATATTTTTCTCTATATATCTAACTGGTCAGCGATTCTACAATATGGTCAGCATTTTAATAACATATTTTTGACTGTTTATTGTATTTTGTCATAGATAAATCAAGAATGACACGTCGCGTGTGAAATCGATTTTAATATTACCTTTGGGCATATCGATCTCGATAAATTATCAGTTTAATGGATATCTGTGGGAAACATGTTGTTTATAATGTAATAAAAGCTTATTAACTTTAACAATTAGCACATTATTAATTTTTGTTCAATATTACTTATACATTATACGAACAACAAATAAGGAAACAGAAATCACTTTATTTCATATTTTGCACTAAATACGACATAATAATTATATTTTGTTAAAATATACATTACGTATATGTACATGTATATATTTTAACCTATGATGCATAGTTTTATACATACTTGAAACAAATTATGATTTTTCGTACATCATATTTTGACTACATTTTTAAAATTTTAACCAATGTATAACACATAGAAGAAAAAATTCATTAAGGTACTTAAATAAAATATTATATCAAAATAAATTGAGAAATATACAGTATATATCAATTGAATTTTTTATAATTAATATGTATCATTTGTAATATTGACATCTTGAAAAAACATTTTATCAAGTATTTCTCGACCTCGCCTGTAATATCACCAACGGCAATTTGACACCTTCATTGTTTTCCCTTCTTTATCTAACTGGTCAGCAGTTTTCGATAATCCTTCTTTGTTTAACTGGTCAGCAGTTTCCTATATATTCTATATCGTCAGCTAATTCGTCAGCAGTTTAGTGCGACCCCTTCCATGATCGCACCGTTTGTCGGTGAGTTAGTAAATTCTGACCAAGCACCGGTAGACGCACGACAATGCGATACGATATTATTCCAAATGTCGCTTCGCATTGTCGAGTGTCGCTTCGCGTTGTCGAGTATCGCTTCGCGTTGTCGAGTGTCGCTTCGCATTGTCGAGTGTCGCTTCGCAATGTTGAGCGTCGCGGTGTAAAAATCATAAAAATAACGCGACATTTACTCCACATTTTAAAAATGTCGCTTCGCGATGTCGAGTGTCACTTCGCATTGTCGAGCGTCGTATCGCATTGTCGCGTTGTCGTTTCGCATTGTCGAGTGTCGTGAAATGCGACAGTGCGACATATCGTTTGACACTGTCGAGCGTCGCTTCGCATTGTCGCATATCGCTTCGCGTTGTCGAGCGTCGCTTCGCATTGTCGCGATGTCACTTCGCATTGTCGTGTGTCTACCCTTAGACGCGACGGACGACATTCTAAATGGCACGATAAGGACACCGTATATAACACTTACAATGAAATGTCGTCGGCTAAACAATAATCTAGGCATTGTGAAAATAATTTTCCCGCCTATTACACAATCAAATTATAGCGATCGTTAAGTGAACCCTCCATAATTATTTAACAAAGAAATTGTATTTCCCGTCTAAACTTCTTAACTAGGACTAACAAATTCATTTTATCGGACTAGAATATTTTACTGCTAAGGAATATTATTGAACTTACCAGCCGTCATAGGCCCAAAGTGCCTGGTAAAATGCTAGAGCAATGACAGAAGGCGACTGTGTAGTACCTTTAAAACTGTCATCAAACTGGGTTGTGTGACCTGTAAAATCATAAGAGTTATCTCTATCATTTGTTAATACCTAATTTACAATGTTTTTGTATTTGTTGCCAATAGCAATGGTTGTAATGTAACGATATTTCAGGCTTAGAACATAAATTGTCAACGATCTGATAACGTAAACTTCCGGTTACAATGCGATGTAAAATAGTTCTTTTCGTTTGTGATTTTCCACGTGCAGAGATTTCTAAACCTGTTCATGATCTTTGTGAAGTCATTAAAAGCGCAGCAAGTAGTTTTAATCGGTTAATTTTTATTTTATTTTTTTTCCCTATTTGAACATCGATATAACAACACTTCATCTTGGTGATTTAAAAATAGTTTTATTAGTGTTTAGATCTTTATTATGCTTATATCATTTTGCGTTATATAATTTAAAAATAAGCAATATAAATTTTATCTTATTTACAAAAAGTATATAGTAAACAAGTCAATCTTAAATCAAATTAAATTCTAAGACATGATTACGAAAAACAAAACAGTCTATTTTATGTGAACCCAGTTAAGATATTGTTTATCTTTGATTGATTTCTAAATTTATTAAAGAATAATTTCACCTTGAGCAAGTCTGACAATTCCACCGACCATGATAATTCCGAGGGCGATGAGTTTTGCTGCCGTGAACACGATTTGTACTTTTGCCGCCACCCTCACGCTCAAGCTATTAACTATCATCAACGTCACTGTGATACATAAATAGAAATAATCCGACCAATCAAACTTCTTTAATTATATGAGTCATTGTTATCTAAATAGATAAATTCCGACCAATCAAATTAATTATTATGTTTGTGTTTGTTCTTTTTAAAAGCTGGGATTTCTTTTTAGGAACGATGTTTGTTTTAAGAAACAACATTTTCCAGCAAAGTTCAACCTTTTAAAATATTATCGATTATATGAGTGGATGTTTATATTTTGTAAATAAGTGGTGAAGAATACTTATTTCGAAATCAGAAACCCCCATATATGGGTTTAGAGTATAAATACAATGCATATTTCAGAAAATGATAATATAAATGTCATTAAACCTAGCTATACGGATGTGGTTTTTATGGTGACAATCACATCATTTCGAGACAACAACCGGGGATGAAACAGAGGGTATTTGTTTGGGGGTTATTTGTGTGTAAGATAAAATTTTCTTTTATCGAGTCAGCTTTGAAAACAGTATTATTACGAGTGGCAAAGCCATGAGAGGGAATACTGGTTTTAAGTTCACGAGATGGAATAAAATAGCATTTTACACAACAAACACATTTTCTTTTTACTTCATGCTTTAAAACAAGTTTTTATGACATTTCCTATATATTAACTTTAATGTTATAATATGTTTACCCGAATGGTAGCCTCAATTTGAGTCGAATTTCTCATAAAAACAAGAAGTCTTGAGTTGAAAAATAAGTCCCACAATCAACGTTAAATGGTGATTATATTATTTTTTTTATTTAAAAAATATGAATGATCGCTGGTTTTAATAATAAAAACAGAAGGGAAAGTCGCACCACCCAACCTTACTTCCGATACTTTATATACTTTAAAGGGATTTATATTGGTATGTATGTATGTAAGTTAAAGCTTAATGAGGGTCCATCCGCCCTTTCGGGCACAAAATGCAGCTTGCGCTGTCGAGTACGGACCCCGGACATGTCACCAGTCATGTCCTTAAAGAGTTAATTTTGAAGCACAAAATGGTGATAATTTACCTCTATGCAATTTCCACGGAGTATTAGCCAAAGATATGAATTTTGAGCCAAAAGTAGGTCACTGTACGGTCACTGTACGGCGGTCAATGAGAACCTAAATGTACAGTAACCTGTGACAATAGGAATGATAGGTGTTTAGCCCTGAAAAGGGCTGTTGGGGCCAGCTATAGGTCTGCCTTATAAGCCGTCTATCTGTACTAGGGGCTCACGCACCCTAGTACACCATCCTCGTCGTCTCAGCCTACTTTGGAGGGCCAAGGATATATATTGGACCAGGCTTTGTGTAATATGAGCGTGAAGTTGTGTATTTAAAGGGCGGGGGATAATTGTGTTTAATTTAGAGGGATATCATTAGGTTTTGTTAGTAATACATCATTTTATAAGAAACATCATTTTATAAGAAAGAAAACTTATTTGATGATTGTTACAGACAATGAATAATAATAATAATAATAATAATAATAATAATAATAATAAAGACTTTATTTAACGAGAGAACTCATTTGAACAAACATATCAATCTTCCATGAGGCCCTCAACAAGGAACAATGTAAATTTAACATATTCAAACTATTAAAATACATAAATGTAAAAACATACAGGAGATTATCAATTTGCATACATGGATGTGTGATAATACCTCAAGTATAAGGTTTTAAAATGGTTAACAGATGTAGCAGACTTAATATAATCAGGAAGGCCATTCCAAATACAAGATCCAGAATAAACAAAAGACTTACGAAATTGTTCAGTATTTGGTCTAGGGGTATAAAGTTGAAAATCAGTATGAACATCTGACGATAAAATGAAATTATTCAATAAATAGGTAGGCGCCTGATTATTCATTATTTTAAACATCATAGTAGCTTTTTGAAAAACAACCCTCTGTGAAAAGGTCATCCAGCGGAGTTCAGAAAAAAGTTCAGCAGATGGAGTGTCATAATCTTTGTCTAGAATTAGTCTTGCAGCTCTCTTTTGGAACTTAATGAGTTTATCTTCTAGAAAAGACGTACAGTTACCGTAAATTATGCAACAATAATCAAGATGTGGTAAAATATATGCATTGTAAAACATTTTACGTACAGGTATAGATATGAATAATTTAATACGTGATAATAAATGTAACAATGAGTTACACTTTTTAAGAACATTGTCAATATGGCTTTGCCAAGACAAGGTGTTATTAATTGTAATACCCAATAATTTTTCTTCAGAGCTACAAAAAATTTGCTCTGTTTTATATAGAATACAAGGATTACTTTCATGGATATAATTTTGCTTGTGTTTTGAGGAAATATACATGACCTTAGTTTTGTTAACATTGATAGACATGCGATTCAAATCACACCATTTGTTGGCATTTAAAAGATCATGAGTAAGAGATTCAACTACTCTGTTTAGGGATACATCAGAGGTTGAAAGGGTAGTGTCATCAGCAAAAATATCAGTTTCTGTTTTTTCCATAGACAAAGGCAGGTCATTGATATAGATTAAAAACAGTATAGGACCTAGCACTGAGCCCTGAGGAACTCCAGTAGTTACTGAACTTGACTCTGAATATAAACCGGATATGTAAGTTTGTTGGGTTCTGCAATCTAAATAGGAGGAAAACCAAGCAACTGATGAAGGGTCTAGGTTATACATTCTAAGCTTTTCAATAATAATAGAGTGATCCACATAGTCAAAAGCTTTAGAGAGATCAAGGAAAATTGAACCAACTATTTCATTTTTGTCAATAGCTGTAATCCAATCATCAATAATTCTAATCAATGCTGTTTGACATGAATGATTTGACCTGAATCCAGACTGACGTTGGTAAAGAAGTTGATTTTTCTCAAGGTATTGCTTTAAATGTGAACTGACATGACGTTCAAGAATAAGTGATATCAAGGGAAGTATGGAAATTGGCCTATAATTTCTTTTATCACTTTTAGAACCCTTTTTATGTATAGGAATGACTTTTGCATTTTTGAATGATTTAGGAAATGTATTGTTAAGAATACTGTTATTGAATATAGTGGTAAGTATGGGAGCAATAATATGAGCCGATAACTTTAGAAACCTTGCACTGAGACCATCTGACCCACATGACTTTGTAATATCAATCGATTTTAATTGGTTCAACACATAAGAGAGCTCTATTTTAGGTATTTTGAAAGGGGGTATATGCTGAAGTTTAGATGCATTTACTTCAACAAGCTCAGGATTTTCATAACCAGTCTGATTAATGGCATGATGGGATTGGTGGAGATTTGCAAATTGTCTGTTGAATAAATTTGCAGTGATTAAATAATTGTTGACAGATGTGTAAACATTCAAAAAGCGGCTAGGAACTTGGAAAACATGGCATGTTTGAATGGGGTCTCACGAACGCTTGGTTCTTTACTAATTCTTCGGTCTGGTGACTGTCATTGCTTTTCACATTACATTAGGCAATAATACCTCATAGGATATTTTAATGGGCCGAAAAGTCATCAAGAGCAGTTTTTCATGAGGAAAGAAGTGTTTGTTTTTTTCAGACTGTAAAAATTTAACAAAACAAAATTAGACGATTGGTTATTTGAATGAATTGAAGTCAGGTTTTTTTTCTTCATTACTTTTGAAAATTTAAGTTATTTAACAATTTCATCTTTGCCTTTCTCTTAACAATGTCAGAATCGAGGTACCACATTGGGAAAATCTTTAAAAAGTAGACTTGTCTTTGAAAATTATGAAATTATATTTTGATAATTTTCACTGTGAAATTATCAAATATAATTTTCACGGATAAATTAGTCATCCACTCAAAAGCATAAAATTAATACAGTATCAAAGTTTCTTTTCGACAGTAGTGTAAGAAAGACTTCAGCACTGAATTCTCGAGCGAGCTATGTGTAAAAGAACTTACCTATTGCTGCAGCTGCTACAATTTTCATCGGGATCGGAGGTGTGCCACAATTTGGAAAGAAAGTCGTGACGTATTCAGCAAATGTCAAACAAATGATGGCTATAGATGAAGGTCGAATTACGATAACAGAGTTCCAGGCGTACAGGAACGCTGGTATTGGCCCAAATGCTTCCATCAGGTAGGCATACTCCCCGCCCGATTTCCTTATAAGCGTGCCAAGTTCAGAATAACAAAGGGACCCTGTTTGAAAAAAGGTTCTTATTTCAAGTAAGAAGTACAGCTGTTCAACAAATAGAATTCAATAATGTTTGTCATTTTTTTTGTAAATATTGACTGAAAATATTCTAATCGTTCAAAACCGCTTTTATATCTTGTTGGTGTTGTTGTTTTGTTGAACGCCACAATTTATTCAAAATATTTGCCCTCATGAAACCATAAATTAGCTACACATTAAGATAAGACTTGAATGACTGGTTTTGCTTTTTCTCTAACATGTTCATGTACAGATAAACATTGTGAAAATCATTAATATTTTTGTTGTTTATGCTTTAAAACCTTACCTAATAATGCCAAAACGCCACTTCCGGCCCAAACGACCAATGATAGGCCAACAGACCCGGTCATGTCGAGAACACCTTTTGGTGATATGAAAATACCAGAGCCTTAAAAAATAACAACAGGTAAATTAGCTAAATGATTCAAGAACAGGATAGTTCTGACTGGCTTTAAAAAAAGAAAAGATTTAACGGTGACTGGTTGTACATGGTGATTACAGCAACGTCAACAGGGGACCAGACTAGATTTTGGCTGGTTGTACCAGATACCTGATGATTCTAGCAGCTCAACATGAAAGCAAGATAGCTTTGGTCGGCTGTTTGTACCAGAAAACATGATAATTCTGGCAACGTTAATCAGTAAACAGGATATTTTGGCTTGTACTCAAAAAAATATTTCTATCAGCAGTAACCTGAAAACATGATATTATATTACAGAAGTTAACTATGGACACATGCTAGAATTACTAACTAAACTACAAAACATGAAAAGATTGTTTCAGCTGACTAAACATAATCAATTTCTAGCTGACTTATGTACTAATGAACCTGCCGTGGAAAAAATGATTTTTTACAAGCCGACCATAGAATCAATGGATACCTATCCCGCTTACTACATGTGCAAGGCTGTCTAGAAACATGACAGGCTTAGCAAATAATAATTTGGGACAAGTTCTGTCCCTATCCGTGAAGTGTTTGAATGTTTTATAGATAGTGCTTTACCTATAATAGTTCCAACTATTAAAGAAATCCCGCCAATCAATCCGACTTCCTTCTTCAACTTGACTTCCTCGATGACAACCGATCCGTACTCGGAGCCTGTGTCCGTCTTCCGCTGACGTGCGCCATTTTGTAACGCATCGTATGGCTTCTCTTCTGAAATAAGAATATAATCCCTATTTAATCATTTGGGTTGGTATAGGGATTTGAGTATGACCACACACGCTTTGGGTCAGATGCCCCTACGTTTTTAAATGTTAGAATATATTTTATGGAGAGTTTACAGGGGCGTACTACGTTAGGGGAAGGATCTGATCCCAATGGTCTATGAGTGTGATATCATTCTAAAAGTTTAGCTAATTTGGAAAAGTTGGTCAATATGACGGATGACCATGGGTTTGAGCATTACTATAGAAACGACCTAAATAGTTAATAAAAAAGTGGGCTGAGATGTAAGATAAGGGTTATCATATGAGTTTACGTTCAAATGTCTTGTAACTTACCAAAGCTAGGCTTTAGTCATATGAGGAAACATGGACGTTACCCGAGTCGGCTTCAAACAAAAGATCCACTATGGTTAAGTAAAACAGCGACTGCATTATATATTACAATAACGAATTAATAAAATGTTAGAATTTAATACGGGAATGCTTTTCAGCCAGCTTGCGGAAGATTTAAAATTCATTGAAAGTTGGTTATTCAATGTTATTAATCTATTTTGACCTACATAGCGTAAGGTTAGTTGGATAATTTAGAGGACCGTTTGAACGTAAAATATTTGCGTTGTATGCTTAGTTTATGCTAACAACTGCTTTAAGAATGTTATAGATAAATGTGCCTGCATTGACTTTAAAATACATCATGTTCAATTCAAATATGTCAACCATTAAGATAAGGGACGTTAACTTGCCCTGGATTTGAAATGTTTTCTTTCTTTTCTTTTTATGTTTTGATTTGTAACATTATTTTGATAAACATGGCTATATGACAAAATACACATAACTTGTGAATTTCTTCTCAAATATACAAGTTTAAGTTTATTACTTAATAAAAACCCGCATTAGTTTTAGGTTAGAGAACTATACACTGGTTTCATTAGCGAGAATCCGCCCTCCCACCCGTCTGCTCATCAGATGGGCACCACAGGCACTTTTTCTTGCAATATAGTCTAAAAATCACCATATGACCTTTACAATCTTCAAGTATTTAGAATAATTTTAAAAGAGATCAAAAGCGAAAATTACCTCTGCCTTTATTGGCATTTACTTAGTATACATTTGGTTTAAGCAATACATTTAAATCTCGTCTTTGACCGTCATTCGTACCGTTAAAATTACGTTTTTTTACGATTGTCCTTCCAAAAAGCGTTGATTTATGAAAAATCAATGCAATCTGAAAGCATGCTGTAAAACACTTAAACAATGATTTTTTTTGGAGTGTAAAGTTATATTATTGTAGGGTGTAAATAAATCTATATCAGTTTTACGACCTACAATAGATTTACAATTCGTTTTAAATGACTTAAGGCAACATGCTCTCAATGTTGTTTTGTTGGAGATTTTGACTGTAATCTTATACGTACATTTGAGCCACGTCACGACAAAACCAACACAATGGGTTTGCGACCAGCATGGATCCATACCAGCCTGTCAATCCGCGCAGTCTGACCAGGATCCATGCTGTTCGCTATCAGTTTCTCTACTTGTTATACAGTTTGTATGCGAACAGCATGGATCCTGATCAGACTGTGCGGATGCGCAGGCTGGTCTGGATCCATGTTGATCGCAAACCCATTGTGTTGGTTTTGTCATGACGCGGCTCCTTTGTTCATGTTTTAAGCTGAATTATTTGTATCCGATTGCGTCTACGTTTTATCCGTTGTTGACGATTACTGTGTACATTTATCCCAACCTGTTTTAATTTGTTTGGATCGTCAGACCAAACAAATAATGGTAGCGAAATTTCAGACTCTGATGCTGTTAATTGCAAGTGCCGAAAGTAGTCCGCTTTTTTTGAAGCTGTTATTTCCATTTATATGTAACACTAAGGCCGAAAAACTTTAGGGGAGATCACTGAGTAGATATGGTCACATGACAGGCGGATTAATTTTCAAGCAAAATAGTTCCCGAATGGTCGAAGATTTCTAATATTGTTTTATTCTTTATAGATATACATGCTTATAGTAAGCGCCATGATCATTTACACAATTGTTTAATAACAGTTAGCGTCGTTACATACCCTTATTAGAATAATACGGTCTTTCTTCAGACCATTATGCTGTGGCCGAGGGGTTTGCGCGCTCGCTTAGGGAACGAGAGGTCTTGAGTTCTAATCCCACTTAAGGCTAATCTTTTGTTTTCAAATTGTTCAAGTCAAATAAACTTTGGATCGAATATCAGCGTTGCAATTAGTTTTATATCCAATCTACCACAATTAAAATGTTGGAAAGCATTGGTGGCACTATACAAAAACAAATTGTTTAATAATCTCACAAACTTCATCTTTCTGACATTCTGATACCCAAACAAATTCAGCGCCTTCTATGCTTTGATTATACTTCACGTGTCGTGTCGGGCATACGATCTTTCTTTGAGAGCAAATATTAACATTTCCAAATATGCTAGGAATCGGGTTTCACGCGTCCGATTGAATGACAACGAAATCCAACTACTAGTAATTGAAAATAACAGGATATAGTACACTTAAAAAGTGACAACACTGTCATATGATGGATTCATGGAAATCCTGCCATACAAGTACCTCTTATTAAATACCGGAATCCGAACTTGTTTCCGATAATAGGATTGTTTCAAACGGACAACGTTGTCAGACGGCGTTGATTACACATGCTGTAAACCGACTGGCTCAGAAAAGATAGCGTCGGTGTTCGAACATAGGATTATGGGCGTTCGTCTCATTTTTCAGTTAAAGGCAAGATGTAAAATGAACTATCACTGTGAGCAAGTACCTTTTACGGATTTATAATTTAAAGGTTTTAATGGCATTTTTGTCAGTTTTATTACCGATATTTAACTTATATCTATCATACTTCAAGCCACGTGGATCATATACTTAACGTTCATAAATAAATATAACATTCGATTATGTTTCATTGCAAATCTGGGACGAAATTAGTCATCAGTAATTTTCTGAAAATAAAATATGCAGACGACTATTCTATTGCGTCCACTTTTATTTTAAAGTAATATAAAATATCCATCTATTCAATAATTGTTCATGTCTTATTACCATGCTGATAGTTTTTACACGGTTCGTTTTGGAAAATTCGGTAATGTTCCCTTTTGTAAATTTCTTATAGGTAAATAAACATCGGTATGAGGGAACAAAAAAAATCTTTAAAAAAAGGTAAATAATAAAAATAAATTATTCTGACTGCTGTCCAAAAATAGACACGAGAAGTGCACTTTTGTCATCGTAACTTTTCGGCCCTTTACGTCAATCTTCGGAAAGATCAATCGGAGCACTTCGACGAATATTCATATCATACTATGGTTGGCGGACGGGCCGAAAAGATGGATACCGTAAAGGGGACTTGTTCACTTTTTTTAGATGGCACGTTTAGCCTTTGTATGAACTTACTAATTTTATTAGAGGGTCCATTGTTTTTACCAAAATTTCAGTGGGTCTTTATACGTTTCATAGAGGATGTAGTGTGGGCTTTTGCTCTATTGCATAAACCTAGAATGTTATTGCATGAGAAACAAACGTGGTGATATTAATTAAAACCGCTACTGGAATCTTTCAACCGAATACATTGCCTTATTTCATCAACGGGGTCCGCTTGGTACGTATGTAGGACAAAGTGTGACCATGCATAATTAATGAAGTTGATCTTGAAAACTAATTATATATTTAATGTAGGCAAATCTATTTTAAGTAACACACTTTAACTATACATTTGAATATATGTATCAGTGTGTTTGTAATAGGCTATATGCAATTTGCAAAAAGTAATGTTGATGGTATATATCTTAACCTGGTAAATATACTGGAAACGTACCTGTAAAAGAAAGAGCATCGAAACAAGAGGCTTCGTTCCCGAATATGAATCAGATTGTCGAGTGTTTTGATATTCTTTCTCTTTTGTATCATGCAAACATAAAAAATAAACGTTTCCTGTTATCATATAAAACCCCAGAAAAAGTAACCTATGGAGGATCATCTAAATATGATATATCTGTCTCTATCCCTTTTCTCTGTATTTACAATAAGTAAACCCCAGAAAAAATGAGCCAATCAATGGTCATGATCTGGGATGCGGGTAACTAATACATGGAAGCAATAAAATTGCCCTTTGCATGTATATGTTTACGATTTAACTCTGACACATTTTCAACAGAAAGGTCCCAAAAATATGATACAATTACAGGCCCGTCGTCACGATTTTGTGATTGGTACGGCCAATTTGGTAGATTTTAGCCAGAATCTAGGGGGGTACGGGGGCATGCTCCCCCGGAAAATTTTTTATTCTAGGATGCTCTCAGGGGCGTTTTCCCATATATTTGGAACATTTTACAGCCTGTCGCTAGAACATGTTATAGTAAAATGTCAACGATTTTTTTACAGATTTAAGTGTGTCGTAAGTTTTAAGGATGAAATTATAAGGTTTGCATAACGGACGGGCAGGTGAACATAAAAGATGAATAGGCCTACATGTAATTGATATTTGGCGAATGAAAAATAAACATTCTAACACTATCGGAATTTTTTCTATATAAACAAAGAAGCGAACAATGCACTCGCCGTTCTTATTATCTCCTTGTGTATTTTCACATTTATTCTTCTGACAAATTCTTTAACAACACAACGACCTCAGTTCTAGCACCGATTGTTTTGACACAAATTTCAAAGCGTCAGGTAGAGTAACAGTACTATTTTCTGATTTGTCAAAATGTGAAGCTATACCTCTAAGATGTCTCGGTTAAAATCGTTGCCATATAAATCACAAACAAAACCAAGTTTTCTAGTGAACGGTCTTCAAAGGTTGTGTGATCTTAATACCGGTAAATAAATCCTCCACGTTCTGAAGTACGCGTTAACACTGGCCATGGCAAGATCGATTGCTTCAAAATACTTTGGCCGGAACACGTCCTGCACTGTAATTATGTAATAGAGTAATTGAATGAGTTTAGTACTGAATTTATTTTAGGAGTTGAATATAAATATATTATGCGAGCCTCTGGCGAGTATAATATTTTATTCAACGAGTTCAATAAATTCAGTAATGAACTTACACGAATTCAATATTCTGTTTATTACATACCAAAAATAAATACCTTTTGAAGTGAAAAAGAACCATTTTTCATTGACGCCCATAGAAAAACGCTAACATTTAGTGTGTATAACGCAAATGACGACAAAATATATGCACGGCCGTGCAATACCATTTTCACGGAGTCGCAAAAACGGCACGAATATGTGATAAAAATATGACTTTTGAACGGTTGCCGTGTACAATCAATAAAATATTATCAAGTTCTCGGAGAATTCAGGCAAACTAGTTCAAGATATTCATAATGCACATATATATACATGTATATACGGTGAATTGTCAATTAACTTCACACTTGATTTCGTACATATACCTGGTCAATTAACAGTGTCCATTTGTTTCTTCGCGTCATGTTTGTATGTTACCGCGTATTGCATAAGGGACCAGTTAAGTGTCTAATTGCTAATCAGCGATGCGTGTTTTTTTATTTTGTATTTTTTTTTGTTTTGATTTTGTTTTTACTCATTTTTGGCCAAAATATTGGTCCGGCCAAGGCCGGACCGGCCGGACCATCGACGACGGCCTTGCAATTTATGTTTATTTCTATTCCGCATGACAGTTCAAAAAGTACATTATGCATATCAGTTTAGTCAAAAAAAAGGAAGCAAGTGCAATCAAAAATATCTGTTACAATAATATTATTGACACTGAAGTTTATATTACAGAGCTATCGCGGTATGTCACCTGTTAACTAGTGTGCTATTTCGTTAGAGACATCTTTCAGCTTACTGATCCTCTAGTTTTTATTTGCATATTTCATTGGTAATGCAAGATAACATTATAATGATGACGGTGATGATGGTGGTGGTGGTGATGATGATGATTGTGTTTTATTGTTTTATTGTCTTATTTATTCATATTTGTTTGTTTGTAGTGAAAATGTATAAAAGTAAAATAAAAGTAAAGTAGAAAAAGTAAATAAAGTGTAAAGTAGTAAGTAAAGTAAAATAAAGAAAGTAAATAGACATGTGAACTTGTAATAACAATGACATAAATAACGTATAATAAACAGCCGACCCAATGGGTCTAAATATTAAGAGAGTTACCATTAAAAGTTCACATAAATCAATGAACAAAATAAAATGATTGCAATATGGTAAAAACTGTATTCGTATGATAAAATATCTTAGTTTGGAAAGTGACTGTTTGACTATTATAAAAATGATAATGTAACATAATAGTCATTGAGTTCTTAATTTATTTTCGGTTGTCATTAAAATATATTTTTCACAGTTATTTTAAAATCACGAAAAACTTTCCGTATATGGTCATATAAACGACACACTATAAAGAAATGTTTTTCGTCCACCATTTCTTGTACGTTACAGTACTTACAAATTCGTTGTAAGGGGGTTTTTACAAATATAGCGCATATCATAACATAAAATGATGTGAAAAATGCCACCTTAATGGATAATTTGTAAAACCCTATCTATCATATTTTATATATTATATTATTTGCCGCAACATAAGTATTGTTTTCTTTTTTTAGTGTCAAAATCGTGCCGAACAGGAATATTTGAAATGGTGTGCAGTGTACGTATTACAACATTTCAAAGCAAACCATGTGCCCTTTTTGTTGTTTCTTTATCAATGTTCTACTGGATTTTTTAAAGTCCTTTTTCAGATATGCATCTGTTAAGTTTTTTATCCGTATCTTTTAATGTAAGTATATGTGTGTTCTTCAGGATTTCATTTCTGGACGGAAGGATGTTCTCCATGCCAACATACAGAACTTTATAAACTTGATAAAAAGATATATTTCGGACCTCATTTGACTTTGATAGAGATGTTTAAAGTTGAAGACAGTTTGCCTCAATATCTTTGTGAATTATATGTTTTAACATGCAGACCAACATTTTTAAATATGCCCAAACAACCTGAATTTATATTGTTTTCATTGAGATTAAAAATAGAAGAAATTTAATATCTGAAGGAACTTAATGAAATAAACTTTAGATAAATATAATGTCTAATTAACTTGTCTAACTTTCAAATGAACCCTTATCTATCGTTTGAAGTTTATGTTTTAACTTTGAACTCAAGTATGCATCCGTAAAAATGTTTCAACAAAGCACTTTTACATTCTTAGGATCTTAGGTGCGACAGAATTTTTAATGACCTACAAAAATGCGGAGAAAATTGAAATATGATTAAAAATACTTCACCGTTTTGATTCATGTTTAATCCACTTTCAGACAACAAAATTATGTGTCGATGGATCAGTTAAATCCTTTTCACAGTATTATATCTGTCAATAATCCGGAAGTGTGAAGATAATATGAAGGTCTCTCATTTATTCAAAATGTAAATATAAACAAAATCCGCTGTTGATAAAATCTGACCGCTATATAGTCTAGGACATCGTCATTGATTCTTTATGCAGATGACGTTGTTTAAAAGTGATGTACGATAGATAAAACGCATCGCATTGATTAAAACACGACATAAAAGTTCGAAATAATCCGATTCAAAAAATGGAAGAAGTAAGTCCGCCTGCGTTCCAGCAGACGACACAAGGGTACTCTGAACGTATGTACCCTATATGAATATATTAACTCTTAATCTTTATCTGATAAAGTCAAGTGTTAATCAGATACTGTGACCTAATTATGTGATAATCTCCAAATGATTTAAGTGTCGTAAATTGTGTTATTATGTGAGATAATTTAATTATTTCTGCAAGGATTTGTCTTGGGGCAAAACATTCTTTGTCACGAAATCCTGTAAACTCTTTCTGCTCTTTCTGCAAGGAAATGACGTGGGGCAAAACATTCTTTTCCACCAACTCATGCAAACTCCTTCTGCGAGGAAATGATGTGGCAATCATTGCAAAAACTTCATTTAAGTATAAACCCTTTTGCAAGGATCAATCGTTGGGCAAAACAATTCTTGCAAAGAAGTACTGTAAACAAAAACGGACAAAAAATAATCATCTATTAAATCATGGGAATAAAATACGGTTAAGAATTCTTGGACAGAGAAAATGACATAGAAAACATGGGAAGGGAAAATGGGTAAGGACAGTTTTGTAAAAGCATAATACCGTTGAAAACTTGGCAAAGACATTCATGAACAGATATTCTTGTTTAGAGATAATATAATTGCAGAAACCCCAGCAAGGAAATTCTGGTAAGGCCATTCTTGCAAAGAGATAGCACTGCAGAAACCACTTCAAAGAAATTCTGGTGAAGATATGATAAAAATTTCTGGACATAAAATCCTGGCTGCAGATATCGTAAGCAAATTTTACACACACACACTTGGTGGAAAATAGTAAACAAAGAAAACATGGCAAAAGCACACGGCATGTGAATCCAATCCAGGTTCAGACTTTCTTTCAAAAAAGGTCTAGTAAACAAATAGTGGCAAATATAATGTTTTAGACATTTCTATTCAATGAGGACCGATGAATATTGGCAAAACATCTAGAAACGATAGTAAACAATCCATTGCAAAGAAATTCTAAAATAGCATCACTTCTTATTCCGTATTATACAAATTCAATACAAAGTAATTAAAATATTTGCTACTCTGTGTTTGATTTACGAGATGATTTCTAATGATTATAGATTTTATTAAAAAAAAAAACTATTTAGTATTATATTCGGTTAAATGCTACCAATGCAGATTATGGGTGTGATGTATATAGAAGTGCCATAAAAACCCTTCAACTTCGGAAGTTTTTTATATTATTTTTTTTTGGTCTACAAGATAAGCTTTCATGTCTGAAATGCGTATCTATGAATCCGTTCCGTTCATTCAAACTCATATAAATTCGGATAATAAGTATGTGTTAAGATCTTTTGTATAATTGAGTAGAATTTTTAAGCCCTAATATAAACACGAGAACAAACGTTTTAAGCAGTTTTCAGTAGACATATGAGCCGCGTCACGTCAAAACCAACATAATGGGTTTGCGACCAGTATGGATCCAGACCAGCCGGCACATCCGCGCAGTCTTATCAGAATCCATGATGTTCGCTATCAGTTTCTCTACTTGTTATAGAGTTTGTAAGCGAACAGCATGGATTCTGATCAGACTGCGCGGATGCGCAGGCTGGTCTGGATCCATGCTTGTCGCAAACCTATTATGTTGATTTTGTCATGACACGGCTCATATAATTCTTTAGGTGTATGTTTTAACACGCACCAACCATGTATTCGTTAATTTGGAATGAGATCTTTGAAAATTAAAGGAAACAGAATTTAGAGATAAGTTAATTATTTATCATCCATGTTAAAATATTATTAGGTTCTGACCCATATTTCACCATGCATGTGAATATTTAACCAAAGGTAAATTAAGAGTTTCGGAATTGAACTATATAACAACACATATTTAAGTCCCAATGGCAAACAATAAAATTAATTGAAAAATGTTAAAGATCTGTTACCCAGGTAAGCCTTTTAAATTGTATTAACCTATGGACAGTAAATTTCACAACATCACACTATTAATTGCAACATAAACTTTTTAGAGGCCACAATTTCACATCCATACACAATAAGATCAATCAACATAAATAGTCCGAATTTTCTACACAAAAGAACTAATTTTCCATTAAAAGCCATTATACCGAAGCAATTTTAGTAAAGCGCCAATATTACCCTGTCTCGTCTTCGATCAATTGATGTTACCTTTAACTACATTTTTAACAAGATTTTACTACTCTCGTTATTTCAATTTATCCATCGGACCTCTTGCAATACCATATACAGGGCAAACCTTCATACTTGCTATTGTTTTTTTAGACTAATTTGCCTGTGTGCGGATTCGACATGTCTTTGCTTCCTTGAGCATGAAACTTTACACTCATTGCTCAGTACTGATAGTTTCCAGGAACGTTTGTTTGTTTTGTTTGTTTGTTTCATTTTACGCCTTTTCTCAACAGTATTTCAGTCATATAGGCGGGTAGTTTCCTTATCATCGTTCCTGGAGAGTTACACCAGTACTAGACTACCTTCCTCCGTGCTAAAATACTAAAGTATATCTCGGGGATCGAACCCTCGCCAGAGAGGTAACTGGATTAGAAGTCATTGACTATAATAGAAGAATATAGCATCTTGTACAATTGAACTAAAATAGTTAGCCAGAGAACCGGGGCATCCGGTCTGTTTCGTTAAGCCAGATTGAACCGGCAAGACTGACATAATACAGTCAAACTTTTGTTATAGGTATTAATTCACTTTCTGTTCACAGACGCTTGGGGGTCAGATCCTGCCCCCAACGTGATACGCCCCTGTAAACACTCTACCAAAATTATTTTAATATTTAAACACGAATTGACATCTGTTACAAAGATAATCAAAGCACTGAAAGTACTGAAGTATACATTGCTTGATAATATAATCCATTTTTGACATCAAAGCCATGTTGATTTTAACCTACTAACCTCGAAAACAATAGGGATCATCTTCTGACCAAGATCAATGTCCCTAACAAGTGATTCACATGCACCAAGGCTTTTTTCTTCAAAAGTTATTTATGAGTCAAGGAAGATGTAATGTTCCATCTGTGTATTGCTAGGACAAGCTGATAGATGAGCAATAAAGAAATCATTTTTTGAAACACCCGTTAAATGGACTGCAGTATAGAATATTGAAACAGTCATATTGAGTTTCCAGTGATGCTATCTGATAAAATACATTTTCTGGTTTGAACTCTATACATAGTCAATTAATTGAATCATCCTACAAGACTTAATTACCAAATTACAGTACATCTATGTACTGTACTTTGATGCATTAATAAATATATTCTGGTGTGTTGTATTAATCTCTACACATTAATTTTCAAATGCATTACTTTATCGTTAATTAATAAAAATGAAATCTATAATCACAACAATTCAAATGTACTGTAATGTTTTCATTATTCAATAATTGTTACATATAGTCTTCATGAACAACCTTTCCAAGAAATCCATTTATATTGGACAGCAAGTTAACAAGGGTTTTTCCATAATCAGGTTGTGTTACCAACTTCTTAACTTTAGATGAACCATTGAGCTAAAACATTTTTTTTTCTATTTTTTGACTACTGTGACATACTTCTGATTTTCAACCAAGGTGATCCATGTTCAAACTCGAGCAACACCTGTCACACACATTCTTACGATGTTGTTTGACATTTGGGACAAAGGGTGACCAGTAGAGTGTTAATTTAACAAACTAAATGACCAGCAGATTGTTAACAACTGTAATGTCAGCATCGGATACACGTGGTTGATACCTAACTGATAAATGTAAATGGTTCGGCCGTGGGTATCCGACGATGCTAAATGTGGACAGACCAGAGTTGACATAAGATGGATGGCCGACATTCAACAATCTAAAACCTCACCTAGCCTGGGATTCAGGCGTTGTTAGCTTTTGCTTATTCATAACATTTTTTTGTTCATAACATATGCGCTTAATATTCCGTATTCGTTCGTTGTTTTGATAGTGTCGATTTTGCCAAACAGAAACATAAAAAATCGACAGACTGGAAACCAGGCTAACCTTACCCTGAGCTAGCCAACCTATAAGTTTCACCACTGACTTTTTCATACTGTACTTATTACAAAAAATAACTGACATTTTACAAAGGTAATAAATTCTATGTCATAGTTATTCATTTAAACGATTGAAAATATATTTAGCAGCATTTTTTAAAAAATATATCTAGTATTTTATTGCAAGTAAAATGTGTTGTTTGTTTATTTATTTTTTCTATGTTTTTGACGCTAGGCAGTATCATAGCCGATAAACAATTTCATACAATGTTTATTACAAAAATATTACTGATATTTTACATTTCTTACACATAAATTATAATGTTATAATCATTCATTTAGACGGTTAAAATTTTATTTAATAGTTCTATTTTTGAAATGCCCATTTCATCGCAAGTAAAATGTGTTTTTTTTTTTTTTATTTTGGGCTTTTCCATTTTTTTGACGCTAGACCGATACGTAGCCGAAAAACACTTTCATGCTGTATTTATAAAAATATAAACATCACTGACATTTTACATTGGTAACAAAAGAAAGTAATAGTTATTCATTTAAAAGGTTGGAAAAAAATAGCGGCTCTTGTTTTAACTACGACTATTTTAATGCCCGTAAAAATGTGTTTTCCGGCTTTTCCATGTTTTTTTGACGCTAGACTGTAACTTTGCCGAAAAACACTTTCATATCGCATTTAATACAGAATAGAATCATTCTCTAATTTACACTGGTTGCAAAAGAAAGTAAATTTTAATCATTTAAAGGGTAGAAAAAAGTAGATAAAACTTATTTTGTTGGAATTATACCAATTGTATATATCATCGATTTAAAACTGATATTATTGAACCCATTTCATCAAATAACCGACAAAAACCAATTTCATCAAATAACCATCAAAAATGGTTTATATTGCTGAATTAATATTTCTTTGTATTTTAAGTGTTTTCGGTATTTATTTGGTGTTTTCCGGCAATTAATATAAGCAGATAAAAATAACATAATGTATTTATTTCTTAATGCTTACACTGATTTACAGTTTCAAATGATTA